TATTCACGGCCTATCACCCGAGATCGATGATCTTGATGATATTGCACGGATGGATGATTTATCAGCTTTGTCTGATACTGACATCCTTTATCTCCAGTTTATTCTTATGGATGTAGATAGTGAGCCTTACCAGCCTACTACATCTACTACTGTGGTACTCGGCGACCCGCCTCACGCAGGAGTCGATGATACAGACACCGAACCTCTCGCCGGTGTTGGTGATACAGACACTGAGCCTCTCGCCAGTGTTGCTGATACAGATGTTGAGCCTCACGCCAACATCAGTGATACTCCCATCGGTGACTCTCAGGGCGCCGATGGTACTGAGAGTGTTGGTGTCTCTTTACCAGGTGGATCAGCAAGCCCAATCAAAGCTTGCTCTCCTACTCCAGCTGTTGTTTCTCCATCCAGGCCCCCCTCTGCACCAGGCTTCCAGTTCTCAGCTCCTTCTCCTCCTGAGGTAATTTATGCCATACCCACTGAAGTGGTAGACATGTTGAGAGGCTTCACCTCCCAATGTCAGTTGCTCATCTCTCAACAGGCCTCCCTCAGCACGGATTTATCTGGGAGATTGGACTGCGTTACCTCTGAACTGCATCACCACAGTGCTGCCTTGACAGATCATGGCACTGCCTTCTCTGCTCTTCAAGCTACGGTTGATTCTTTGGATGCTCGTATGGCTGCTATATCTGATTCTCAATCCAGCATATCTGAAGCTGTCGCTGATCTTCGTGCTCGGTCGGCTAGTCAGGCTGCCACTAATCAGGCAATTCTTCAATCTCTGGCTGATCTTCACTCCAAGATGGATGCACAGACTCAGATATCCAAATTGTTCTTAGCCATAGATACAGAGTTCACTGTTGACTTGGGTCCTACTCAGTTCACGGAAGAGGACAGGGTCATGTTAGCCAAAGTCAGTCGCCGTGTTGAGTCCGATTATGATCTTCTTGGCGGTCTTCATCGCGGTGTCTCACGTCTGCTTCGTGCCACTTGTGCTCCCTTTCCTCGTGCTACGGCTTATGTGCCTTCCCCACCTGCCGATGTGGAGGGTCTTTCTGTACCTGTTGCTGGACCTTCCCCTGTTACCACTGAGGGGGAGAAGATAGTTGATCCTGCTGCCAGTGTCAACGGGGACGACGACTCTGCTTCTACTTCTTCATCCTCAGCTGAGTCAGATGGTGATGCTCCTATTGAGGGGGAGCTACTTGTTCATGATGATAGAGCCACAACAACTGTTGAGGGGGAGCAACCATGTTCTATGCCTTCAGTATCTGTTGAGGTTGGTACTATCCCTTCTTAAGATGATGTTCTCACTACTTCTGGGGACTTAGTCCCAACTCACAGAGAAGGAAAGGCACCGATGACCACAGATGAAGAAGCTGCTGCAGCTAAAGCAGCTAAATCTGCTAGACATCAATCTGAAGTTCCTGCAGCCGACAGACTTGTGCTCAAAGCTTCACGTCCTCAAGAAACTGATCTTCAGCTCCTAGGTATTTCTTCTGAGGATGCGGCCAACTCAATTGCTCTTCAAAAGCAATTTGAGGAAGCCAACAGATCTTACACCTTGGTCCCACGATCTGAGTCTGAAGAAACCAAAGAAAAAAGAATTAAATGGTTTAATGACTCAATTCTCCGACGCTACACTACTAGTCGAATTGTCAATGCCAGAATCAAAGGTCCTCAAAAATTGACCTATGATTCCAATCTGATCCTTTTGATTATTGGTCGAGAAAACGGAACAGTGAGGACAGAAAAGCTGTCTTGGATCCAYTCCTACGGTCTTACTGAGTGGATGGAGATCATCAAGTTTCTTAATAAAAGCAGAAGTATGTATAAGGAATATGTCTTGACTCATCTGTATCGCCTTCTCAAAAAGATACAGATGATCAAGATACATTACAAGTTGCCTTCCCCT